GCAGGACACCACGCAGTGGGAGTGGCAGAAACGTGAGTGATGGAGTGGGAGACGGTGCGTGGCAGCAGGAGGAGGGAAAAGGAGTCAGCGCGATGGCTTTATGAGTCATATTATTGACCGGCAAGCTTGCTGAGGCGATTTTGGTAATCGGTTTTTCTTGGGCGCAGGAGAGACCATGAGTCCGGGAGTCTTCGTGGAATTTTATTGTGAAGGCAAGCAGCTGGCGGGTGCAATGGGGAGTGTCTTTGTATGTTTGGTAAACTACTCCGGCCTCCTCCCACAGTCCAAAGACACGCGGCTTAATTGGTGCCTCTAAAAAAAAAGAATTGCCCGAAGCTATGTGAATAGGAGAGTGAAAGGCCGCCTGTCTCCATGCGATTGGCGACCAGTCAAGGGTGCACCCAGTCTCTCGCCTAATGCCAGCTAGGATTGACTCCAACCCTCCCCCCCTCCCCTGCAACCCTCTAAGGATAAGCAGTGTATAAGATGGCTGACTGACTCTTTGGCCATACAATAGATTGAATTGAGATTCTGTATCCCAGGGGCACATGTTGCTATCTTGCTGGGACGAGTGTATAGACAAGTCAATGTGTGGCACAAAACAACTTTGCAGAGGAACAGAAACAAAGAAAGAAAGCGAAGCTAAAGAAACAATGTTGTGGGATGGAAATTGGAAGCACATCTCTTAATTCGTTACATTCCCTGCTAGAGTAACTGAAGACACAGCGTTATCTCAGTCTTTCTGTCCGTCTGTCAGATGCGACGGCATGCTGTTGGCCCCTGCTGCCTGCTGCTTATGAAAAGTTCTAATTGACTTGCCGTCATGCTCCTAAAGTAGGGAGCAGTAGATTTATGATCTCATTTAGCTCTGGCTTTACAGCAGCCCGCTACAGGGTCGGTCTAATCAAACGCCAGAGGAAGTCCATGCCGCTACTCTCAACGGCGATACCATCAGCTGACAGTCTCTGTCTGCAATGTGAGGGATTGCCCAGGTAACGGCAGTGTTAGTTTCACGATGGTGCATCCTGAACCACAACAGTCTGGCTTCTGTCTGCAGCACACAAGAAGCAGTGCGCTGCAGGTTGCTGCTTTTCAGCTTAGTGATGGCTGCACCCTCTCATCATCTCTTCTTTCCCCCTCTCTGCAGGGATTTCACTGAAGTTGTCAATCAGCATTGCAACTTGGCATAGATTAAGTTAGCTAGAGGAAATTAGAGCCATTTGCTCCTCCCCCGTCAGCCTTTCTCAAACCACAACTCTTCCTATCAGTGTCTAAGTAACTCACACTTTTATTGGATTTCGATCGAGAGGACGGGAGGTTGTGGTTGGAGGACATCCCAGCGGGGCATCCTGGGCCTTCAAAGGCACAAGGCTGGAAGTTGTGATGTCATGGGAACATAGGAAAACTCTCGGTGTGCCGCAAAAGGCTGGGCCAGAAATCTAAAAGCGCAATTGTGCCTTTAGAGAGCAGCGAGCCCAATTGATTTTTCATTTCTTCTCGCCCTCTGAGGTCTCTCTATTGTTTTCATTGCTGGCGTCTTCTTCCTTAATTGGCTTTTGCATGAGAGCCATGACCGTGACAGCCCTCAAATCTGGCAGTTACATATTCTATTCCATCCCTCAGATCTAGCGGGTGAATTTCTGGGAGAGTGAAGAGAACACCTCCTCTCTCCTGAAACCACCCTCTGTGTCTGGGAGGAGAGGATTATCCCCCCCAGACCTGAAGTGCCCCCCTCACTATAGCCACAACTGAGAGCACAGATTATTTTATCACCACTACTCAAACATTAATACTCTTAGGCCGCATGGTGCGAGCAGTATGTCAAATCAACCAACGTCAATACTCCCTGGAGGAGAGAGGAGACTTAATCATATTTATATAAAAGAACAGTGTTCCAGAACCTATTCAAATACACCACTTGCACCCCTGGAGATCAGTTGCATATACACGTATGTGTCGATATGTAGATCACCCTGGAATTCTAAAAGCATAGAGGCACAAATTCCATTTGCATTTAAGGAATGACCTCTGTCCTCCTGCTACTGTGTTAACAATGGGGAAGTTTGTGCAGAATTGATAGGTGGGTGGTTATTAAATTGGAACTGCTTCAAATAAGCTCTTAATTTCAGCCCCGCATTTATGAAACATTAATGAAGAGGGGAGAATATTCGATGCTGGGAAAACTCCCCGGCTTGGGCAAAAGCATAGGAGGAGCACAGCATGAATTTAAACATGTTGCAAAAATGAAGAAAGTATTATGATAATGGAGCTGGCATGACTCAAATAGTGCTTTGATGAATTTCGAACGTCTTGCTCATTACTGCCCACTACGTAACATATCATACAAAATCAGTGTGACACCAACTGTGAATCCCTTTCAGGCTGATGGCTCTATGAAATATTGATGCCCATTCCGGCATCCAGTCACAAGAATCCCTCTTAACCAAAAGTGAATATCTGACCGCCTCCCTTGTATGAGTACGAGGTAATTGTATCAAATGAGGCTTCATATACCCTCAAATTAACATAAGTGGATTCTGCTGTTGGAAGTGAACCGCCGCCATTTTTAAACTGGATATGAATGGTAACGTGGAGTCGGAGAGACGATCCACCACACACGCAGCAGCCATTGCATATGCTCCGCTAAAGTCCTGCAGTAATCATGCGTACAGCACATCAATCCCTTTCCGGGGTGGAGCTGTATTATAGCTGCAGTTGTCCAAGTTAATGTATTATCATAATCTGGAAGATTATTTAGGTGCAGCATGAACAGGAATGCACATATGGGCTGTACATCAGCAAATATTTACAGACATTTAAGCTCACAGTAATATTTAGACCCATACAACAAATCACAAGTCCTGACGGTGATTGAGATGTGGGCCAAGAAGCAGACACAGGAGACACGTCTCTCCCTCAGCAATGGCAAAATGAAATAGACCGTCAGATACGGTTGAAAGAGATTGGAGAAAGTGTCTGCTGTGGAGACTGCTTCTTCGACTTGTTTCAACTCAAATTCCGACCTCTGCAGGTTTCTGTCATCTTCCCGTCTCACAGCCTCATCAAGCTGGATTCCTGTAAAGAAGGATGAATGACAAGAAAGGTGCTTACTGACAGAAAAAAAAAAGTTGTGCATCAATATTAACAATTATAGAATAATAATTTAGAAAGGTCACTAAGAAATTCCAACGTGAGACGGTGTGTTGCACAATATATGGTGTTTCACCCTTTACTCAGTTCAACTAAATGTAGATGTATTCATTTTTTCGAAATAATGAAACAGATCAAATAAGGAAAAGAGGCTAGTAGCTGCAGACCGCTGGCCACTTTACAGTTTAAATCAGATTTGAAATTCACTCATTGAGAAGACAACGCAGACGAAGAAGAAGAAGACGGCGGCGAGGGGTTTGGGCAGCCAAGGGATTGGCAGGAGTGACGAGATGTGACAGTGAGCACATTGGCTTCCAGGGTGGTTGCTACTTTACACTCCAATCACACAGTCCCTCTGTCCCCCAAGACATTTTAATCTGATCCCCGGATCCGGGAAGACGATAGCACATCGCTGCTCTGAGGAAAGCAGGAGAGCGGCGCCGGGCGACGCGATCTCATACCCAGCCTTTTTCCTTCCACTTATTTTATCACCAAGATGGCTGCTCCTTTGCTCACTAAATTTTGCTCCATATGCTGAGTGTGTAGATGTGAATGAACGCATTGTTCTGGCCAGGCCCTTTGCGTGTACATCCGTGCGCGTACTTGCGAGCGCACAGCACTACTTTTGATTGGATTAGTCAGAGAGAGACATCCATCCTCTCGGCCTCGCCCTTCCTGCTCTGGTTACGGGCTACATTATTGATCCACAATAGCTCTATTTCCTCTCCGTGTCCAAACTTATTAGACGGTCTGCTTTCACACAGCCGGGGCTGATCCCCTCCTCCTCCTTGTTCCTGTGAAACCTCAGTTTTCAATTCTCCCTTTGCTCATCCTCCATCGGGCTTATGTCTCTGTCAGGTCGTTTGTGTTTTCTCCACCAATGTTTTCTTGTCTTATCTTAATCTGCAACCGTTGCCGCTTGTTTTCTCCCTCAGACTCTTCTATCCTCCATCTCTGTGTTGTCCTGTCTTCTCCTCCGTTGATCTCTGGCTTTACTTTGCTGTCTGAGTCTCACTGATGCTCTCCATACAAAAATTAGACCACGGGTGATTTTTGAGTATTTGTGAGGATCAATTGGCCTTAATTGCCTTTGCAAAAGAGTAATATTTGGACTGGGTTGATAAAGAGGAAGAGCAGGCCATGCGACAGAATGGACACAACTAATCACAATAGTTCAAATCATTTTTTCACTCCAAACACTTTCTCCAACATTTTGAAAGTAGTACGTACATTTATTGGTTTAGAAATGTTCTATGAAAAATGCTTTTCAGATTATTGATAAATGCTGGAAGAATAAAATCCATAAGCATATGAAGCATTTGATAAGCCGTCTTGACATATGAAACCACAAACCAGGGCTGGAATCTAGGTGTAGTTGGATGAATTTATCTGATCAATCTGTTAGAACGACCATATAAAGAGAGAATTACAAAATCAATTCACTAGTACCTGATGAATACATCAAGGATTTGAGTTGTTAGGCCGTAACTTGTCCATGGATTCTTCTTCCGTAGACTGGACTTTTGTTACTGTGTGCTCACAAGACTGTAAAAGGTCAATCAGAAGGCCACTGATCGAGTCCTCACCATGATATGTATTGTTTTAATGTTGGTTTTAACTTAATTGTTTTCAAATTCTTTTTTTGCTGATCTTTTGATGGTTTCAAATGTTTTTTTGTGTAGCACTTTGAATCTCTTTGTTGTAGAAATGTGCCGTAGGCTACGTATAAACTCGCCTTGACTTGAGCATTTGGAAAACCTCGTTGGTCGCAAAGTAGATGAACCACGCCAGGCAGAAGCAACCATTTTCCCTTCTCTTTGTCTGAAATGTATACGTTTTGGTTCCTGCAGGCTCTGTACCCGAGCCCAGAGGAGGGCTGGCAGATCTACAGCTCGGCGCAGGACGCAGATGGGAAGTGCATCTGTACCGTGGTCGCACCGGCCCAGAACATGTGTAACCGAGACCCACGCAGCAGGCAACTTCGCCAGCTCATGGAGAAGGTGACAGCTGTCGATAACACACTCACTTTGAGACACGACTGTCACCCCACGCAGACACACAAACTGCCACACTGCAGCGCGCTCATGTCTGGCACCGTCTGCCACATGCAGGCAGCCGAAGTGTGGAGTCTCACTTCCTTTACCCTTTAGTTATGCAGAGCAATATGACACCAATCAGGAGTCATTGTTTTTTTTTAACGGTTCTTTTTTGAGCGACATAGTTGCTTAAGTGTTAATTTCCTTAGAGGGAGAAATATCCATAATTCTCCCTAAGTAGTTTGACTAATTATGGCTTAGGAGAATGTTACTTTTGGAAATACAATTTTCTCATCTCTTTCTACTCAAATAACAAAAAGTTAGTTACTAATCGGTAAATAATTGTAAATGCTTTGTTCAGTTATACAAAAGGCAGAATGTTGCACACACTAAATCTATTTACTTTGACTTTAATTACTCAAAAATATTATTTCAACACTTTATTTTGCAACTACTTGTGTCATGCGTTACAGTCAAATAAATGTCATGTCATATAAATACAAGTCCACCCCATGAAATCCTAAAGCACACTACACGGTTTCAGCAACTGGACAATAAATCCATGTTTCATCTACGTGGAGGATTATTGACCTACAGTGCGGTGCATGCAAATGTAATTTCCTGCTTGTGGCAAGTGCACAGATAGGCAGAAGAGAACCTCTGCTAACAGCGGATCCACTCCAATCCCTGATTGGTGGTTTGCAATTGATTAGCCTCTTTTCATCCTTCTCGTTCTTTTCCCAAATATATGATAAAAACCAGAGTTCTGTGGATCCACAGAGAGAGTGAAAGCTTTGGAGGTTAGAGGCAGCAGGAGCTGACGTTGATGTGGTCTTCCGAGTATAGATGGTAACCAAATTCACATATTGCATTAGTTTTCATTCAAGTTTTCCTTTTTTCTGGCACTGCCTGCTGCGCTCTCAAAATCCACACTCACACATGCTTTTAAATTAAGCATATTCCAGAGAAGGCACATCCAGGCTGAGAAAAAGACAAACTCAATGAAGCTATTTGGAGAAAGCGGGTTTACCTAGTTAGTTTATAAATGAACCGTTGCTCTTGTAAAATGAGAAATGCTCTTAGAAAACTGTTCCTGCATGTTGTTTAAAATGTATGCAATATTAAATGTCTTGAATGTTGGATATGTTTGTGTAACCTTTTCGGTATCAGCACATGGTAGCTCATAGTACAGTAACTTATTGAATATTTCTAATGGACCCAATTTGCATATTGGGATTTTCTACTCGTTCTTTACACTTTCTGCGGTGGAAAGAATTATTGAGCACCCAAGATGTAGTTTACTGTAAAAGTTTTAACCCTAACCCCCAAAAATGGTCAATCCAATCTGCCAATGAGCATACTTCTGTGTTAAAATCAGTATAACAGAGCAATACAGTAAAAAACACATGAATACCACATTTTTAAACACATTTGTTTATGAAGTCTATACCCACAATTTCTCAGGTTTCTCAGTTATTTGTAGTCTCTGATAATTGCAAATATATTTAGTATTATTGTATTAGATTCAACCACTTATCAGAGCCAAGCGCTCTGTCACAGACCAGCCTAATGAGGACACCTGGGGGCAGCGCTACCTGGGCTGCACAGAAGTGAATGCCACAAGTTAAAAGACCATGTGTCTGTGTGTACGCATGCACACAACAACACAGTAAGACATCCTCATTTCAACCCAGACCATGTGGTGGAATTATGTGAACAGACAAGATCCACAAAGGCTCTCCCCGACGCCAAGGTTGCACTAACAATGTCAAAACCACCGATGAATGTGCAGCAGCCTTGTGGAAAAGCCTCCATTCAGCTTTCTGCAAAGGCAGACAAAGTAACCATCCCGGATGGCCCTGAAGCGCGGTGGCGTGAGAACACTCCCGGCGCAGAATTTAGAACACCTCATGCCCATTTAAACTCTCCGCCCGACTGACTGAGCCGAGATGAGATGGGAGTGAGATAGGAGGGCACGGTGAGGCTTACATACACACAAACACGCCGTACGCTTTGGTTCCAGAGTGAGTCATTCCGCTGGACACCTGCGACTGATTAAATACGGGACAGTACGAGCGTGGGGCCAGAAGTAAAAGGTACAATGGCTGGTTTGGGTCAGTTATTGCGGCCCCGCCACAGAGGCCCCGCATTTGTTTTGACTCCGGGCTGGTGGTTAATGTTACACATTCCTCTGACTATTTCACCCATTGCTGTCAAATTTGTTTTTAATTACAGGAGAAAATATTTTTCTGACCAAACATTGGCCGGCCAGTTCATGAAGCATGTGTGCGATGTGTGGGTTGGAGGCTGGACACAAAGTAGTTGAGTGGGCTGTCAAAGTGTGGGCAAGCAAGGCATTTGGTGCTGAACAGACTTCATGTCCGACTGTACCCTTTGAGAGTTGGTACAGTATTTGTTTTTGTTATTTATATAAATATCTTTAGTGCAAGGGAAGTTGTGGTGCGTGTCTGTGTGGACGCGCGTCTGGTCATGTGGGTAGCTGGACATATGCGCATGTGAGCCGCCTGTATGCACCACATCCCTGCAACATTTGCCAATGTTCAGATGAATTCTGGCCAGTTGGGTGCCACGTGCAGGAGATGAGGGGGTGTGAAATAGTAGGCTGGTTAAGCAGCAACAGAGTGGGCCGTCAAAGCGGGAGCAAGGACTGGAAAAGATTTAAACATAGTGCACAACTGAGAACTGCGATTCAATAAACACCTACTTGACAACATGTTTGCACCCTCACAAATATATGTTTTTTTATTGTCTCATATGGTGTATGTATCCATTAACTTGTGTACACGTTCATAATAATGACCCTTCTTTTCGACCGCCATAGGGGATTACCGCTTGATTTTTAATGCATTATTTTATTAATTTGACATCTATATTTCATCTTTCATTAATTCAATTTGGGGGATTTCCAAGTCTGTATTACACGAATAAAGCTTTTTGAATACATCCACACATTCAAGATATTTTTATACAGGATTCAAATGTACAGTTCAAAGCTGTGACAACCCTTCAATTGTCATCCACTGCACATGAGCCTATTGCCAACATCAGGCTAAATCTGTGCCTGGGGAGTTGCAGGACATCCAGCAAGCACTGGGTGAATGTTTTGGAAACACCTTAGAGCGCAGTTTGCTGACTGAGTTGAGGGGAAACACTGTACTGTAATAATACAAAAGGTAAAAATACGTGGGTGAAAATGTGCTCTGAGCAAATGTCACTGCGCGAATACAAATTTGCAACGGTGAAGAATGTGGGTCACAAAATGATTTGAATTCAATGTTGTATCTACTACGGAAAAAAACATCCCGACACCGAGCACTCATGTCCAAACCACCAACAAAGTCCATTTCACAAGAAACAACTTTCCAGTCCGGGGAAACAACTGATTTAAGAGTATACAACAGTCTGACCTCTGACCTTACTGTGGCTCATTAAAAAGGACACAATGCAAAAAGTTGAGCAACAAAATGTTTTCACGTTTGAGCTCAGCCAAATAGCTCATCAACAAATAATGTCAAACCAATCAGGTCGAACACAAGCTGGACCTGCATGTCTGAAGAAGATTGGAGATTTACCACACAAGTAATTCCATTAAGATTCACACAAAAAATCGAACGCGTGTGTATATGTGTGTGTGTGTGTGTGTGACAGGTTCAGAACATTAGCCAGTCAATGGAGGTGCTGGACCTGCGGACGTACAGAGATCTACAATATGTGAGGAACACAGAGAGCCTAATGAAAGAGGTGGATGGGAAGCTGAAGGTGGCCTCTGAAAGTCCCCGCAGCCTCAATCCAAAGGGCTTTCAGGTAATTGGCCGTCTGTCACCTCCTGCACGCTGCTGCCTCTGCGTATTATTCTCAGGTGAAACGAGACACATTGAGTTGTGTCGCTGCTTTCCATATGCACACTTACCCAGGCAGACGCTCTTCACAGACAATAACATTTTGCATGACTCTCGATGTGCTCTGGGTATACAAATTCAATTCCCAAACTCTTCTTTGAGCCTGATATGCTCGGAGCAATTTCGTAAGGTCCTGAATTATTAAACTCCTGGACCTAGAAGCGAAGGTTGTTTTTTTTTTGTTTTGTTCTGTACCCCCCCGCCCCCCCGTACATCCTTTCCCACACTCAAACTGTAATTTTCCTCTATATACTTAGAATTCCAGGGTATGCGCTTAGATAACGTTCACATATATTCACATTTATATTCACCTTATCTCTACAAGCTGAGTCTTAGCGGTCGTTATCAGCAGGCCCCTTTTGTCTCCTTTTCAGTCAGCTGTCTTGACCTGACTTTCTCCACATTTCTCACAACCTTACAGATTATTAAATGAACCGTAAAATGGTTTGATTAAAAGATGCCTTGATAAACGCTAAATGTGCTTCACTGCCCGGCCTCAGCGCAGCGACAAGCATGAAAGGTCGTTTTTTGCTCTCCGCGTCTCTTATGAAGACGGTCCAATGGAGGAAATGAAGTTCTTTAGGAATAAGCCAATTCTAAAGTAAAGCCTGGTGATGAATACGATATGCAGAATAACACGGGCCTACGGTTTTAGCTGAATTCTCATCCTCAATTCAAAAGTGAATTAAAAGAAATTTAAAAAAAGTAGGATTGGACCAGAGCTGATGAGTTGGCTGATGAATGCTTGCAGCTCAAAGTTGCCAATGGCAGAGCGTCGGAGATTAACGAGACCGAATTTTCGCAGCTTGAAAAGGGGAAAATTAGATTTATGATGTGGCGCCACGGGGCTGAGAGCTGCTCCATCACCAGATTTACGATAAACCTTAACAAGGAGGAAACAGCCCCTCCTGTGGCGGCCACACTTTATTGACTCACCTATTTCTCTCTTGAGCCTTCTAGCTTCCGAGCAGGCAGCCTGGCTCTCCTGCTGCTTCCTGCACTCCTACCTAAAAACATATTGTTACGTTTCCTTGTACACACGAGTCACCGAACAAGATTACACCCAAGTAGCACCGCACGCCTCACTGTATGTAAAAATCCCATAAACCAGCCAGTACACAGAACTGCATGAGATTGAAAATAGTTTAGATTCAGAGATCTTCTATTCCACACACTGTAAATAACAACAACAAAAAATCAATGTAGAGTTTGTACAGAGAAACCCACACAATTCAAACAAGTGGATGCACTTGGTCATAATTAATGCATGCAGTAGTTTAAAACGGAGCCAAAGAAAAACAAAGATTTTAATGGGTGCACCAAAGTCAGTAGTAAATCAAATTCCAGTAAATCATAGCTTGGTGCAGTTGAACAATGAATCTCATGATGATTTGAATGGATGACCCAGCTATAGTATGAGCTCCGGTTGAGATATGATCTATGAACCAGAAGCAATAACTGAAGACTGAAAGGCTAGCTACACTAGCTACACAATACCATGTGCTAACTTCTTCCCCCCCCCCTCCCTTTGTGCCACTCCGTGCGTCCGTTTCTGCGATTACCGTCTTAGGAGTTAAAAGACAAGGTGACCCAGCTGCTCCCCTTGCTGCCAGTGCTGGAACAGTACAAGACGGATGCAAAGATGATCCTGCGTCTTCGGGAGGAGGTTAGGAATCTGTCCTTGGTGCTGATGGCCATCCAAGAAGAGATGGGGGCCTACGACTACGAGGAGCTGCGCCAGAGAGTCCTGCTGCTGGAGACCAGGCTCCACTCCTGCATGCAGAAACTAGGTACAACATGAATGCACGTGTGTGTCATTGAGTTAATATCCAAATACAATGGTAGCACTTAAACAGTCGAAGGTTGGAAAACATCGATAGAGAAGACTGAATTATTCAATTAAGTTAATCAATGGTCGAACTGTTGTGTATTGGTACAAGTTTACCCTCCTTGCTGTTCAGAATATCAGCATAAATTAAGAAAGATTGGCCTAGAATGCTTGAATGAATAATTGATCATGTTCTCACATAATTAAACTGATGAATTTACAAAATCCCACCTATAAAAACTGATGACTTAACAAGAAAAGACTATAGTTGGAGTTTAGCCTTTAGGTACTTGAGGTTTTGATGTTGTCTTTTATTAGTTGTTTGCATAAAGCAAATGACTTAATGCAGAGACACTTATGGTTTTTATATATTATTCCTAAGTATCAATCTATTTTTGCATATCGATTACAAATGGTCAATGCCAACCACGTTTTGGCTCCCCCCCAACATGTTGTGGAAGTCTCCCCCAAAACAATTGCACATTATGACTATTTTAGAACAGTTTTACTGGCTGTGGAAAATGCTGCGTCTTTACAGTCATGTGTTACATGTAAACAGGATAAAAAGTGATACAACGCTGTCAAAGGTGTGAACAAATTGCAACCCTCCAATGGTCAAAACTGCAGGGCCTTAAAAGCAGCACATGGAAAAACATGTTTCAAATTACCTCTATACCATACATCTGTACGGTAAATACTTTTATATGGCATCTCACGTCGTTCTGTTCTTTGACTTTCAGGCTGTGGCAAATTGACTGGCGTCAGTAATCCCATCACAGTGCGTGCGTCAGGGTCACGGTTCGGCTCGTGGATGACCGATACCATGATCCCCAGCTCAGACAACAGAGTAAGTCCCCGTGTTTCTATGCTCAACCCGGGATTAAAGTCGAACCCTTTAATCCCGGCCTAAAAACGTCTAAAAACGTAGTTCAACAAACAAAAGTAAAACCAAAGTCATTGGGGAAAAGACTCAGCTGCTCGATGGCAAACAAATATCGCTCACAGCAACAATGTCACGACGCTTCAGTCACTGATGGACTGTTTTGCCCGAGTAGGACTGATCTGGAGCTCTAGAGGAGGAAGAGAGAGAAATGGGGATACAAAGCTGAGTCACTGATGGATAGCATCTGGTTTCCTTCTCCCCGTCTACCACTGTCCCTGCAACTCCAGCTGATGAATCACTTCATCATCAGTGGACAAATGAAGCAGTTGTTTTGGGCCAGAGTTTTCTAAAGCACCAACGGTAATTACCAGGAGTGTGCTGACATGCTCTGGACCCGGATGATAGAGTAATGGCCTAAGCAGGACCTGCAGGTAAGCGGGTGGGAAAAAGACAAGTGAGCGGGGAAATTGAGAGAAATGGTGGAGCCTGGTGATTGAGAAGCGAAGGAGTGGATTATCAACTGCAGGGGAGAATGGAAACTGATGAGGTTTAAACAGGAAAGATGACGATAGCCTTTTTCAGCCCAACACTGAATCATAAGAGGCTAAATAGATATTGCTAGCAGAGAAGGTCAATTTCTTCGATTGAATGCCCCCAATCTCGGTCTTTGATTGCTTTACTGGCCGGGATCACATCCCCTTTAGATCAATAACAGATTCATTAATGGCTTGATACATCAACATCACATCAACACCCCCACCAATCATGATAACCATATTTGGGGAACATCATTCGGGAGCCAAACAGAAAATAACAAACTTGGCAGCGTGCAAAAGCCTGGCGAGGCTAGGGACTTATTTTGCAGGCAGGGGAGAAACAAAGCTTAATGCTCTATAATCCCCCCTCTCCATAATTCAGCTGCTGTACCTCACTACCTCTGTCTTCTCCCATGCACCAACTCTACCGCCAATGGCATTTTTATGGAAGGAAAGTGCCTGTTCTCCACCTGAACAGCTGAAAAAGGAGGAGAAAAACAATGGGTGGTGCATCAGAAGAAAATGACCTACATCTAAAACAAGTTCCCCTTTTTATGTAAAATAAATATACAAGCCAACTGCAGTAATTGAATCAATTAAAAGCTGAATTGTGTTTGGGTAGAAGCATTTGGGGAATGGGATGGGAGGAACCGCCGTAGAGGAACCATGTCAGTGCAGAGAGCCGCTGGGAGGGCTCGAGGAAAAAGATCAAGCTGCTAAAAATGCATCGATTTTTCTGTAAATGTGGACTGGAAAGGCCAGGGAGCGCAAGCAACTGGTTGACCGCAAAGTGCAGGCAACGTCTTCACTCCCACATATCACAAGTCCTGCACACGTGCACATGAAGGCGTACACTCACACGCAAACAAGTAGATATTTACACAACTTTGCTCAGGGGATCGCCATCGGCTGGCTATGATGAAACGCTGCTCTCCACCGTTGTCACAGAGAGGCACGTCCGGTAAAAATACGTCCTGCTGTAACCTCCGTATCGGTTTGCAATCTCCTTTAAATGCGTCCCTCTCCCCAACGGGATTCATTTTGCCTTCTCTCCACAGGTGTGGTCAATGGACGGTTACTTCAAGGGACGGCGTGTCCTGGAATACCGGACGATGAATGATTTCATGAAGGGCCAGAACTTTGTGCAACACTTGTTGCCTCACCCCTGGGCAGGCACCGGTCATGTGGTCTACAACGGCTCACTGTACTACAACAAGTACCAGAGCAACATCATCATCAAGTACCACTTCCGTTCTCGGAGTGTGCTGGTGCAGCGCAGCCTGAGTGGCGCAGGCTACAACAACACCTTCCCCTACTCCTGGGGTGGCTCCTCTGATATCGACCTGATGGCGGATGAGAATGGTCTGTGGGCCGTTTACACCACCATCCCCAACGCTGGGAACATTGTCATCAGCCGCCTGGAGCCCCAAAGTCTGGAAGTGCAGCAGACTTGGGACACGGGCTTCCCCAAGCGTAGTGCTGGAGAGTCCTTCATGATCTGTGGTACACTTTATGTCACCAACTCCCACCTGGCCGGTGCCAAGATCTACTTTGCCTACTACACCAACACGTCAAGCTACGAGTACACAGACATCCCTTTCCACAATCAATACTCCCACATCTCCATGATGGACTACAACCCCAGGGAGAGGGTCCTGTATACCTGGAACAACGGACACCAGGTGCTCTACAATGTCACACTGTTCCAGGTGATTAAGACTTCTGGGGACTGAGAACCCTCAGAAGAACCCACTCAAATAATGCTGTGATTCTTGTTCGGGCAGTGGAAAGTGAGCTGGGTGGAGGCGGGCAGGTGGTGTGGGTTGGGAGCGTCAGTGTAAGGGCATAGGCTTGTATTTTATTATTTTTTTTAAGAATTTCCATCTCCATAGAGTGCTATTATTCACATTCTCAAAAAACACTGGTAGCAAGGTCGGTAAACAAACAAAGACTGAGCGCTTCTCTTATTTTTTTTTCTGTGATGAGTAAGCATGGTTCTTTTTATTTGTGATGATAAATAAATATCAATCTTTACCATTTACGAGTTTGTATTTCATTGTCAATTTAATCTCAAGTAGAGCCCCCCTGTTTCTTGCAGGGGTGGAGAATAAAGAAACCTGGATGTGTGTACAAGGTGAGTTCTCTTCAAAAATGAATAAAAGGCTATAAGCAATCATCTAGATTTCTTTATGATTGGACGGAACGAGCCAGTATTTACTTCCTTGTTTTCCAAAGCCTGAGATGCATGCGCTTAACATTTCAAAATAATTAAATGAAATAATTGTATCCATCTCACTGATGCATAGAATCTATACTAGCACAGCAGAATCATAAAATAATGAAGAGACAGCCTGCAAATACTTTGCAGGAGAATTTTAAGGGCTGCACTAAACATTTCATCCAATGAGTTACATATCAAAAAAAGCCAGGGCATCAAGATCTGTGAAATCACGCTTCCCTATTCTCAAACCATATTCAATTTGACTTTAATTGCCATGGCTTACATTTTAATTTTATTGAAGTTGTAACGGGAAATTAATGTACATCTGGTAAATTGAGCAGGTGCTGCTGCAAAGGCTTGAGAAGCACAAACAGGGAGGGGACAAAAACATGTTCCAGAGGAATTCTAAGTGAAGAAAAAAAGGCTTCAAAATGACCCTTTTATGTCAGGCTCCAATGTGTTTTCATCTGGTTTGTCGCACCGCTCTTACATGGTTTCTGCAAAGAAACTGCGAACCTTGCATTGCACATTCGTTATTTGCTCCTAAAAATTGAAAAGCCACATTGACGGTCTCTGCTCTTTGGAGGGCATACTGGCAAAAATACAGCCCATTTCGCTGTCCTCTTATTCCTTTCATTTATAAGAAATGTAAAAGCGCTTCCATTCTCTGCAGAATCTGGTGGACACAGAAAACATACTTTCCCTGCGTTACCATAGTGATCCTTTTTATCATGGATGACCTTCTATCAATAAAGTACAGTGTTGATGAATTCATCCAGTACATGGGAGTGGTTGACATTTAAAGCACAACAAAATAGACAACAGTACAGCACATCAATAGTGTAATTTGGCATTAGTGCATTAGAAAAATGGGGGAAAAAAGTTTTGGACTACAGAAAATTTGGATACAGGATAGATGTAATTTTTGGGGGGTAATTTGTAAGCAACATGAACATTTATCATTGAGACAAGAGTGAAAAACACTTGATCTTGCTGCTCCAAGATTAGATCCACCAGAGCATCTTCTCTCTGCACTCCAATTGTCGATACAATACGGCAAAAACAGGATGAACGGACTGCTAAGTCAGCTGGTATGAAAATAGCCGAGCCTATCCTGATTGTGAAGGCAATTATAAAACAGAGCAGCAGCTTACTTGTTGTAAAAAAAGTCTGGAGCCGACAGTTTCCCCATTACACAAAAGGTATCTATTGTTAGGCATGAGTGCTTCAAATGGACGTACAATTTTACAGAGACCAGGAAAAGTAATAATGACTGCATACGGATGATCTGTGATGAAATAAAGTCAGCAAACTAGCAAGACGCATTTATGTGATGAAATCCTATACATTCATGTCTATATTCTAGTTAAGTTAAAACGGATACACATTTTATATCCTAAGTAAATAACAGTTACGTACAAACTCAATTTTCTTAAGAACAAATATGTTGTTGACTGAGAAATAAGGAAAAGAAAACTAAATATGTTGGCAACTTTTTCATCAGAAAATCAATTACTGCTGTTGGTCGCTGCCAGCAGCATAACCGCTGCCTCCCACCTTGGCGAGGCAAACATTAGCCCTGTAAGCACCAGTGACCGCGCAGCTGTGCCAACAAATGCTCCGTGCGAAGGGTCAGCCAGTGATGCGATGGGGATCCAGGGAACGACGAACACCATCATGGGCGGCTCCATTCGAGTATTGTATCATTGTATCAGTCAGGATAGATTATCTTTTCATCTTCACCTAAGGCCGACACGTCAGTGCACAACCCGCTTCTGTATGTGCGCTCAAGAATCATCCTGGGGGAGGGGGTGAAAACCAAAGTTTGAAAGGGCAAAAGTTGTAAGGGGCCTAAAATCACTAAGCCGTTTCACATGGTGTGTGAATCTCTCAAAGCTCGGACTCACATGGTGGAGATGTGTCTGCAAAACGATTCAGTAGGATCTAGGATGGCTTGTCTGTGAGTCAGAGCCTGGGGGATTTCAATAGAATGCCTCTTACGTGTAGATGGATGCAAATTGTGAACAACGGCACTAATTAGTATACCATTCAGTATTCTCAGCATTGTCAACTGAGTAGACAAATGAAAGCTCAAGATTCAATATGAAACAGCGATGATTAAGTATTGGTTTTGTGCCACGCGGCACCTAAATTATGTCCAAACCTAAAGAGACAATACTGACCTGGAGAAAGTTAAGCAGGAAATACAAAATGGGCAGCTTAACATTCTACAAGACAATGTGATCACTGAGCTATAAAAAACAACTACGTTGACCTAAATCTCCACAATAAACTATAAGACAATCGAGTGAAGATTTGCAAAGTTGGCAGCCACGCAGTGACTAATGAGAAGTAGTGACGTTGTATCTGGATCTGTCAAAAAGATTCTTCTGTTTTTTTTTTTTTTTATAAACAAGTACGATTTGTAGTCCAATTGAAGAGTTATGTGAAAATATATTTGATGCCAAAGGAGTGTGAAATAATGCATGGAGTTAATTTGGCATCGATCTATAAGTGTACTGGACAGTCGAACACACACACACACACACACACACACACAATAAAGCAGTTCACCATGATTAAAGTTCAGATCATGCCTATCCAAGATATCAGCAAAGCACACAGCGTGGTGCTGCACACAAGATTGCTTTGCTTTATACCTTGTAGTGCAGAACTAAGTTTATCTGCGTAGGGATCAGCACAAGTCGGGAATTTCGCTGGAACATTTCCTTAGTGCAGCCTTCCACCGGATCCCGCGGGAAAACAAATGAACCAACTCCACAATTATAGCCGGCCTGAATAATAGGCCACCAATACGGATTTCTTTCTTCGGAGGATGTATTAACAGACAATCCCTCTGCGTGAGCAGCGTGCATTGATGCAGAGGAGAAAAGGAACTGCCAGCTTGATTTATTTGAATTGACTATAAGCATGCGTACGCACAGGAACTGATTGAGGGCAGGTATGTCTCCAATAGAACTTGTTTGATGGAGTGCACGGGGGTGAGCTTCACACGCAGGAACACAGATAGCGACAGAAACTCAAGAATTACGAAGCAAACGCAGCTCCAATATTAAACAGGCAGCCATCCTCGGGCGACGGGTTTGTTTTGATGAAAATACAATGATCCCTGCGGAGCAGGTCCTGAGATATTCCTCTTTGATACAGTTGTAGCATGCATGCAGAGCACAATAGCCTTTGTTCCATGTCTTAAATAGGCTTACAATTGTTGGGAGAATTCACCCGTTCCTTTGCGGCACATTTCTCAATCGGTTTCCTCATTAATGTGGTAGGTGTACTTTGAAGAACACTTCCTCACTTCCATGTTCAGAAATATACTGTACAAACTTTTTTCCCGCCAAGCCACTGGGGTGACACCGAAGACCTCTGAAAAGGGCTTTGAACGTTGATTTCCTGGTTATTAAATATCACTTGCACATATGTAAAAGGTGCCAGCGCTGTGGAGATGGAATAGCGGGAGAGGTTATTTTACTCCACTTAACTCATCAGAGAAGCAGGCTTGATAATTGGTTCTTTAAATTGTGTTTTGAGCTTTCATTGATTCACCACTCGTCTCCTTAATCGCATTAGGTCTGGTTTTGTGAAGTAAGGTAGAATCATCCTGGGATGAAACAGTGGGTAATTACGTTTTTTAACCTTGATGTCCTGACGTTGCATAGCTGGCTGAGGCAGTAAAGATTTAGCATGACATGTGGACTTGAAGTCCTGTTGGATCCCTCCTTCTTTGTGTTATTGTGGTGGGATGCTGCTGCAGAAAACAAGTAATTTAGCGCAGGGGTGTTGGTTGAGAAAAAGCGTTCAGGATACTAAAACACAAACGTCACAATACAGCTCTAAGCGGTAATGTGCAATATACAGTATATTACTGAAAAGGATTTTTTGAAAAAGAATATTGAGGAAAATAAAAAATATTTTTCAGCCCCAAGAATGCTTCAGGGTCTATGAAGTGGATACAATAAGCACTGAATGGGTTGTCAATCAAATCTTTATCATCCCTCACGGCAGATTGTACCAATCGAGTATTTTATGTTTCCTCCTGTGGCCGAATGCAGCAAAAAAACAAAAGCAGGATCACCATCACATTCGGTAGCAAAAGTTCTAATAATTTCCATAATTTTATTTCAGAAGTAGTGCAAATACGTTTGAAACATTTTTCAATGAGGAATACATTTTTACGGTATGGACAAGCACTTGCAACCCCTTCATTTTCCCCGAGGAAAATGAAGGGGTTGCAGTAAATTGTCCCTTTCACAAAACACTGACAAGTAATCATAAAAGGATTTTGGGCCTGTAGAGCTTTGCTCCGAGTCTGTGCCAGATGTCACGAGGCAAACATTTAAAAGGTTTGAAAAAAGCTCAAAAAAGGTGGAAAAACATGGCTAATGGAAATGAGTACGATAGATGTGCTGCATTGGCTTAAATAGAAATTGAATAATTATAACACACGGTCAGATTATGAGGGCACAATAGCAGGAACTTTTTCTTTCATACCGACTACAGAATTTTGTAAAACTCTTGTCAATCCACATGGTTATAGCTGGTGTTGATGAAAATGTCTTCCTGCACCAAAAAACGTATTGCTTTGTCAGTCTTTGTGAATTTCAGTCTGGATGATTAACCCCTTTTGCAGATATTAAGCAGAAAAATATTTTTTTCAGGATGCTCCCTACTCATCTATACATGCGACAGGTGCGGAAACATATCCAATATCCATATATCCAATAGCCTTAAATCATAACCTGAGGAAAATGGTAAGAAATTAGCATTACCGTGTGTGATGACAACTGGCACCTTATGACAGTTATTTTGAATAGGAGACAACATCCGTCTGATGCATGTATTTCCAGCAACATATGCAACGTCAGATATTCCCCATTGACTGGGGATC